CAGTAAACGGCGACCGTTAACTGACCATTTTCTGACCATGGACGTTTTCAGACGATCTTTGGACCGTGAAACGGCCACACTAAAAACCGCAAGTTAACGGCTTGTTTACTGGGCGTATTTTTGCCGTTTTCATAATGTTAACGCGCCGTTTTTTCTGTGACCGTTTACTGGAGGTTAACTGACCGTTAACGGGCCGTTTTTTTGGATCTGGGCATCATTGAAAAAAATTTAAAAACTAAACATCACTAGGAATGTACTGGTAAATCGTCAAAATGTACGGTTCTTTCTGGTTTAAGGATAAGCTTGAAAGACGACTGATTATTACATCTGAGAGTATCTGAAACGCTCTTTCGAATGTTCCCTTTATTCAGTTTCTGTGAAGAAATAACCGTTTATTTGAGGACCGTTAGAAAATCAGTTTATTAGCGTTCATTGCCAACTCTTGAATTAACAGATGAACTTTTTCCAGTTTTTGAATTGTAAAATGATCTTCATTCAATTCTACTTCTGATGTGAAACAAAAACTAATCTCATTCACTTTGTATTTTATCTGGCGCTTTTGCTGACGTCCCCAACTGTTACACGTAAAATGTCTATTTTTCAGTAAATCACAAAAAGGTAACTTGAAAACTCTTAAGGAGATCAGACCCATAGACTTTTTCACGGGCTATTTTTTCGTGTATTTAGTTTCAGCAAAAATTCATTATTTTTGACATCAGTGAACTGTTTTTAGGCCGTTTTTTTCATATACATGATTATAGATGCTTTTGACCGTAAATAGGCCATTAACGATTAGTTAACGGACCGTTTTTAGACCGTTTTTCACATGCATGATTATAGATGCTTTTGACCGTAAATAGGCCGTTAATGGCCAGTTAACGGACCGTTTTTTTGGACTTTATGCTAAAGTGATTTTAGAATGATTTTTCAATGTTTCATGACACATAGAGTACTTCAGGGTAATTACAGACACTCTTGGAAATTGTCGATCTGTTTTTGCCATTTCTTGACCGCTTTTGATCGGAAAAGCTTGCTATGAAACACGGTGGTAGACCGAACGTTTTTCTACATGCTCACGTAAAAATCTTTTGAAAATTTCCGATCAGTTTTGAGCCAAATCCAGGAGATAATTAGTTTAAAAAACCTCATTTCATAGCCTGGACTTCTCTCTATGTACCATATTGTTTTGAGCTCATTATCATCTAAAGTCGTTCAGCCAGTTAGCATATAATCAACAGAACTAGAAATTCTTTTTATGCTCTGCGGTAAATAGAGACACTCGTGTAATTGTGAAAACTACGGAAGATAACACCAAATTATCCGACATATGTCCCATTTCAAGGACTCATATCATCTTGTATATGCACGCTATGCCAAAGTCGCAATTCAACTTGTGAGTTCCACAGAAATTGTTATAAGCCTCCGATAAAGAAATACTCAAAGTCGCCGAATGTCTCATTTTTTAGAGAAATGTTTGGATTACAATCGCCTATACATAAAAATATTTCGAAGTTATCTGTAATGCTCACATTTTTGTTAGAAATAACTTCATATTTCTTTTCACAGTCGAGTATTTAAGAAGAAACATTTCTCTACAAAATGCGACGTTCTGCGACTCCGAGTAATTCTTTATAGGCGACTTATAGCAATTTTCGCTGAAGCTCGAACAACAGTTTTTAACTGGTGCAAAGTTTTTCAGAAAATTGGAAAATACGAAAATTTGGGAAAATTCACGTTTTTCTTCGTATGAGATATAAATAAAAATAAAATAAAATATTCCCGCGAACAGCATGGTCGGTGCTGTGGCGGAGCTTCGCTTAAAAGCTAAAAGCTATTTTACCTACTTTTTGGTATAAATCCTACCATAACGGACTCCAAACTCCTACTCTTTGATTTTTGCGATTACGAAGCCTGCGAAATTGATCAATCTTGAAATTTTATGGTTTTTCAACAAAGCGATTTCTAACAGAATGGAAAACAGTAATAGACGCAGTTTTTCATTGTGCATCTAATCATATACTGTTTATCTAATTTTGAGTTCGGTGAATGTTCACTAAATATTGACGAGATTTCTCAAAATTGTTCTTTGTTTTAGATGAACCCTTTCTTAGAGTAATACAGTTATTAAAATATTTCCCTCCATAATTGTTATGATCAGATCCACAGATGTAATGAAAGGCTTAGGGTAATTTTTGTAGTGAACAGAATAGTCCTCTTTTAAAAGAAAAAATTAAGTCATGGATGCAAAACATAAAAAGCGATTAAAAAATGCTAAGTAAATCATTCTTTTATGCTCATTCGTTAAGAAATTTATTTGTAATACAACTGAAAGCACAACTTCTGCTCAAAACGTGTACAACGCTAACCATTCAGTTATGTACATATATATAACGACATTTTTATTTAGCCGCACGTCTGACGAATATATAAAACTTGCATGAAGAATAAAAGGTAGTTATGACAATACATCGGCGAAGTAAAAGTGACGCAATCGTGTATCAAACGAGACTTACTCTAGGGCAAGTAATGATGAAAGTATCGAAGAAGATGCTGATTATGATATGTATCAAAAAGTATTTGAAGATCTAAAAAGAAATGACATAGATATTAAATTGAGTGATATCAGTGCGATTTCTTCAGATTCTAAGAGTAATAATACTGTTGCTGTTGTTGAAAATAAAGATGGTTTATTGACAACAAGCAAAATTTGTTTAAAAATTACCGATGGTGTATGAGACACTATTTTTATATTCATGTGTTCATATTTATTTTATGGGGATTAACAGGCGGGTTGATCGGATATTTAATTGAATTAAAAAATGAACTAATCAGTGTACATTATGTTGACGCTTGGTTTGTTTGTAGTACATGTGTGTATAATTGTGGCCTAACAACGTTAGATTCTGCCAAATTATCACGTGCATCACAAATACTTTTAATGTTTGCCACATTTTTTAGCGGTTTTACAATGAGTACATTGCCTGCTTTGGTTATAAAAACTCGAACTCATAAGAAAGTAGAAGGTATCACTGTTGATAATGATCACGGAGATGAGAAAGATGACTCATTGCCTCAGGTAAATTTAACCAGCAATAATCTATCTTCAAATGTCACTGAAAAATTAAGAATATTACCTACAGCCGAACAGTTACGTTATCGAGCCTATATGTTGACGATTTTTCTTACATTAATTGCATGTTTTACAATTTATGGAATAGCGTTTGTTGTTATCGGTGCATGGGTAAGTAATAAATATGAAACTCATTATCTATCACAGGATGGTATTGCGATTAATAGTTATTATGCTTCATTTATTATTACCATCACCGGTTTCAACCAAAACGTTTTATCATCGTAGTCCGATAGTTTAGCACGTTTTGTTAAAGACATTTATATGAATCTATTCATCATACTTGTAAGTACTTTACAATTTTCTTTTTTGAGGTACACGATTTATTATTTTCTTATTTCAAACAATTATGGCAAGATTGCTTTACAACAATCGATATTAGTATATTGGCTTCAGCAACATTAATCATCTATTTACTACTAATGGCTATTAAATCCCAAATGTAATGCGGAATAGATGAAACACCATTTGAACTAGAATGGATAACATTACACTGTAAAAAATTAAGTGGGTTACCAGTGAGTAAAATCGTCTCAGTAGGTAAAACGGATCCATTTAGATGGGGCACGGCTCACTAGGTCTCCTAGTGGGCCAAAATCTACTGAGCAATTTTTAGTGAGTACTCTTTTCTCAGTGTGTCACAAAAAAGGCAAGTACGGTCTGTTCTTTTTCAAATTGTAGTCAAATAGAAAGAACTGAAACGTGGGACAAACTGTAATAAACTTGGCGCGTATTAATTTCCTTATGGATGATGTTGCAAAAAAAAGTGCAAGGCGCATTAGTGACCTACGTTTGTTAATTTTCTGGAGAAAACGGTTGCCATCCATATTTTATTTTTTTTAGAAAAAACTTAAAATTTCTTTTTATAAATTTCATTGTGTGATATTTTAGTTCAATTTAATTTCAGAATAGGACAAGAGACGCTGCCTAAAACTAAATTCAAACAAAGACTGCGCTCTGCTATAGCATTCGAAAAGCCTAATTTTTCCTTCAGTACTCCTCGCTGGGGTGGTGATGTGTGAGTAGTAGAATATTGTACATTTTATACCTTTACATTTTCTCCGATTTTGAAAAGTAAGACTTCCATATGAATATATGCGCTCTATCTCTCTATTCTTTACATCTTCTTTTGGATGGAATAGTGTATTCACGGTTGATTAACAGTCAGTCTGCAGTAAATACTGCCAGATATTCTCATCGTTTTAGTGCTTGGTTTATTTCTTTGCTTCTTTTTAATACTTCGGAAAAAATGCATCTTGCTCCGAGAATTGGAGGACTAAGGACGAATTAATCTTTCATTGTGAATATAAGCATCCGGATAAAAAGGAGTAGTGGTGAATTTTCTCGGTTGCATTAATAAGTATCAATCGACACGAGCATTAAGAAAACATGCGTGTCAAAAACACAAGTTTAGTTTTAAGCTGGAATGCTTTTGTTCCTTTTGTGCATATTTTCATCAATACAATAAAATGCTGACTATTCAGAAATCAAGAAAATGAGGAAAATTTTATTGTGCACTGACTAGTAAAAAGGTGTAGATTGCGGAGTAGTGCATTATAAATAACCGCTTACCGACTTAAAATTCGAATAGAAAAGGCTTTCTACTTTAAACGGTGCCGTTTTCTTGGACCTGGGCTGCTGTTACTATTTTATCAATTCTAAAATTTCTACTCTTGAACAAGTATAACGATTCTTCTTACCTTTGAGTTGGGAAAACCCAGACTTACTTAGCTCTGGATCATTCTTTTACATTAGCCATACATAAGAACACATCTAAAAAAACATCTCAGTACGCAATATAACGCATCATTTTTCCTCACATGCATAGAATTGGTGAAACGCTCGATTATATATCCATTATACAAAAAAAATAATAATCGATCTTTGGGAAAACTAAATGCGCCATTTTGTTCAGAATTGTTTTTAAAAATGTTTTGTGAAGCAAAACGACCTTAAACTAGAGTCCTGCAGCATTGAGCTTTTTCGTCTCGATCCCGTCCCGTAGAATTGAAACCCGGTCCCGATCCCGAAAAATTATTTTCGCCAACCCCTACCCCAATTCCGTCCGGTAGGCATAATTACAATCCCGTTAAATCTCGAAATTCTTTTTCGCTAAAATACAAACAGCTGTCGCTCGTGTGTGACAAGCTGAAAGAAAGAATCTGATTGACTGTCGTGTGAGGACGACAGTTTCTTGTGTGTTTAATTGTTTACTTTATCGGTGAAAGAAGTTATCTGCTAATAACAGCTACCAATCGCAGATAACTTCAGCATTCGTTGAAAGCTAGCTGGCCATCAAAAGTAAGATATGTAAAAAGCTCAATATGGCCTCTCTAACCAGCAGATGAGTGTATGGAAGTCCATGTTTTCTCTTTTTTACGTTACACTAGTAGAAACAGCGTTTCTAACATTACGCGTACGCCTTTGTTTCAAAGCGTACGGTACGCGAACTAAATTGAAAATACGCTTTGTATTAACCAATAGGAAAAGACAGAACGACTATGAATTACCACGGTTATGTACGCGCTGCTCAAAATTCTCATTAGAAACCCTGAGTAGAAAAAAATATGATAAAAAAATATAATAGAACCATTTATACAGCATGTGTCTCATCCATGTGTCTCTTCCAATAAACTGGAAAAAGAAAATCCCGATCCCGTTCAGCAGCTTACATCCAGATCCCGAACCCGTTCCTAAGCTTGGCCCCGATCCCGATCCCGTAAACATTTGTTCTCCTAACCCGATCCCGCAGGGCTCTGCCTTAAACCCTCCTTTGTCGTTACACTGTAAAAAATAAAGTGTGCGTGCTAGTGTATATTCCCCCAAGTGGGCATTTCGAGTGCAAAGTGATGTGCAATTTGTCACTGTGTAATCTGAATCTTTATCTTGCGTTTCTCTATGGGAAAAAAACGAAAGAATTGTTCTTCGCATCCGTCTTTAGTTTAAACTATTTTATTTAAAATGAGAAGTAATAACTAGTGATGATCACAAGCGAGTGGGGGGCACTTATGACAGTGATCATTAATTCGTATAGAAGCTTCATTCATTGCACGAACGATATTCTTTTCATCATAGGCTAACAGACTTCTTATCTATTCTGACGTGTTTATTACACAATTACTGTGAAAGTAAACGAAACAACTTTCCTCTCCCACAGAGATAATTCCCACAAATATCTGAAAAACAAATCATTTGTAATTCTGACCTATCCATCATCTACGTAATCGTTCTGTTTACTTGTTTTCTCTGTTTATGTGTCATAAAAACAAGGAACTTTTCTTTTGAAAAAGACTGTATCTGTCTATCTATCTATATATATAAAGAAGAAGTTTGTTTGTTCTTTACGCATTTGGTCCCAGTAAGAGCCAATGCCACCAAACTTTGCATGGCACATCCTTTGTCCAGGTGAAGGTCTTCCAAAAACCGCAGCAAATTTTCTCCGATTCTTTTCCAATTTCTCCGATCCGAGCTCTGGTGGAGAGAAGTACATCAGCTTCGAGGAGGATGGCAGCTTCCCGAGTAGCTGAGAGTCCAGAGCAAAGACAAACTCGAGTTGACAAGCAACGTACAAGACAAGCGGCTTTCAGAGCAGCACGCTGGACATGCATAGAAGATGAAGCGTTTCGGTACAACCCGGTCAACAGCTACAACAACTATCCTCAGTTTGATATCGGACGAATGAACAACGTTTGCTCATAACGGGGTGCTCTCAAGTGGGCTGAAGAAGCGCCAGGCATGTGCTGCTCCGGTAGTAAGGTGAGCTTATCGTCACTCCAGCCTCCTCCAGAACCACTAGAATCATTGATGTCGGGGACAACGTCCCGGTGGAAGCGTTTTCTGGAAAACATCAGAAAGTACAACTCCTGCTTTCAGATGATCTCTTTTGTCGCGTCAAATGAAGTATGCGAGCCAGGTTTCATGCCCACCGTCAAGGTTCACGGTCAACTCTACCATCGTGTGGGATTCCTGTTGCCACTTTCGAATAAGAAGCATCAATTCCTTCAAATTTATTTCATGAGCGACAAACAACAAGAAGCAAAGCAGCGTTGCAGTTCCGGGGCAACTCCGGGTACTTCAGCTAGTATGCATATATATCACAATTTCTTTGTTTACTCCTTTTGTATATAAAGACCATGAATTGTATATAACTTAGTCTGAATAAAGTTTCTTTCGCTTTGTAGATACATATGCAATAGTAACACAGTTTCTTATCATTTTGCTTTCGTTCTGAATTTCTTTTAGAAAAGATTTGTTTACAAAGTTTTAAGACAGCTTATTATGAAGTCTTTGGTACTAATAATTTTACTGATTTGTATTCTTTCTTGTAAGTTCTTAGCTTTAATGTTTTCTGTTTTCAACTCATTTTATTATATTTTTAGGTGCTGTCAATGAAGTTGTCGGCGATAAAGCATTTGATGATTGTTATCGAGCAATGACTCCAAAGTGTCAAAGAACAAGAGGAGCAAAAGCAAAAGCAATTTGTTGGGCTGCTATTGCTGCTTATTGTGCATCAAAAGGATAGTCGAACACTGCCCATCAATTTGCATATTTTCGAGTTAGACGGACAAAAATTTACTTTAATGCCTATTTACACATTTAATTTACGTTGCAATCAAAGGATATGTTATTATTATAGATGTATTTTTTGTTTTGCAGAGAACAAGAAGTAAAATTTGCAACCGAAAGATTTCTTAACCACTTGCGGTGCTGTAATTTTTTTTTGATTGTTTTATGTGCTTCCAAATTTGTTTTGAGGACTACAACGTCTATATATACATATCTATTCGGGTACGTTTTCCTTTACCGACAAATATTTTAATAACTTAATATTCTTAGATGGTAAATACTTTGATACTTTAATATTTTCAAGCAGTTTGGAGCAAAGTGGACCGTCGTTATTGATAAGGCGAACGGTTGAATATAGTTTGATAGGATTCTTTCTTTTCAGTAAAATGAATTTTAGTTCTGCTATATCAGAAACTAATGGGAAGATTTTTCTCTTCCAGAAACGTGGGTTATCCATCACGCGAGTGTCGTGACAATGTTTGTTTAAAGTTCAAAAATCTTGTGAAAATCTATATCAAGTGAACCGCTCTTGCACGGAAATTCGATTTTTTCATTGTCTTGTACACAAACTTATACAAGCATTTTCAAAACAACGAAGCATTTTGAAGAAAAAGTTTCATTAACGAAGTTGTTCAGGATAGTCCTCTTCATACCCTTAGCGGAATACTTTTTCATTTGAGTGGGAAAATTTTGAAATAAATGCAATTTACGTAAATCTTAAGTAAATTTAAGTTCACAGTTTTCTATTTGTAGCTTATTTCAAAATTTTCTCACTAAAATGAAAGAATTACTCCGGTTAGGGTATGAAGAGGATTATCCTGAACAACTTCGTCAGCGAAACCTTTTCTTCGAAATGCTTCGTTGTTTTGAAAATGTTCGTACAAGTTTCAAAAAAGTACTTCAAGAGCTCATACTACCATGGAATGAAAAATGTTAATTTTCTCACACACAGTCGATTCAATTTTTATTATAACTTGTGGGTATATGTCACTTAACATGCGCTGTCGAACTGTGTAACGATAGGAGTTTCAGCTTTAATTCTGAATTTAATTCTGAAGACAAAATAGGCCCGCTCACAGATCAAGCTCATATAAACCAATCTGATGTAGTTTTTGTCAGTGATTAACCCCAACATATTCTTTTTCTTCGATGTTTCCTAGAAAACTTTTCGTTCAATAACTGAACTGTGAACTGAACTGAGAATTTTCGTTTTTTGGTTTTTTGAATTCTAAAATACTTAAATTCATATAAATGTCTTTAACAAAACGTGCTAAACTGTCGGATCACGGTGATAAACTGTTTTGGTTGAAATCGGTAACGTTAATAATAAATTATTATATATTAGACTACTCAGTCCCAGTTTGTTGTGAATATTTTATATAGCATCTTGTAGCCCGTGAAATTCTGCATCGAGCGGTATAACGATTTCTTATATTGAAAAATCATTTCTTTTTACACTTTAACTTAAATACATCAAACATGACGCTTGTATGTTTCTTTCTTTTGATCCAGGTTCGTTTTGACCGTTTTTGTTTCTGCATACTCATATTCTGTGTGCAAAGAATATCTTTTCTTTCGAAACAATAAATGCGAAAAGACAAGTTTTATATTTTATCGAATATATAGTTATATACACAAAGAATTACATACAATATGATACTCGTTGTAATTTCCTCTGCAAATTAAACAAACTAAAACTATACAAATATCTGTCCGTACAAAAGCAAGACATAGACCAGTCGCAGTATTACCTCTAAGGTGAAATATCTTAATAAATATATTTATACCACCAGGAAAAAAAATAAATTAAAATAAATTAATCCAGATACGCAGAGCATTATCTTCTTCGTGTACATAATTATGAAACATTCATTCGATAAAACATAAAATTTAATATAAAAAAACTTGTCTTTTCGCATTTATTGTTTTCGAAAGAAAAGATATTCTTTGCGCACAGAATATGAGTATGCAGAAACAAAAATGATCAAAACGAATCTGGATCAAAAGAAAGAAACATACAAGCGTCATGTTTGATGTATTTAAGTTAAAGTGTAAAAAGAAATGATTTTTCAATATAAGAAATCGTTAAATAAAATTTTCTGCAATAAAGATAAATCTCGTTAACCTAATAGAGAAATAACGACTAATTCCTACTCTAACTACTATGGATCAGAATAGTAGCGGGGCAGGGAAAAAAAGAGCCTGTGAAGGGAATACGGGTGTATTCTAGGAATAGCAAAACAGAGGAATGGCGACTGGCTGACCGGGATTTATTTTGATATGTTTCCTTAAATGCTACATAAACTCATTTGCTAAACCCTATTTGCGCTGACAACAGCTTTTCTTCCAAAAACAAACCTTTGTCTTTTGAGATATTAGGCGTTGAAGTCATAAGTAATTTACACAATGGGCTTTCTCAGGAGCCTATCAACACCATTTCGGATAAGTCATCCGACTTTTCTGTCTATGCATTCTGACAAGAAAGTGTTAAATGAGTTAAATAAAAAGAGCTAAAAGTCAACTGAACAACCAATTTGCAAGGCGACTCACACATATAGAAGAGAGAGTGACGATGCCCTTTTTGTCAAAGAGTTTTCTGTCAGAACTGGTAACAAAGTTCAAGCTGCCGATGTAACGACGTTGCCTAACACGAAAAGGAGTCAACAATCCACTTTTTGTACCCTGCAAGAGCATAAAAATGATTTTTATACAAGTAGTTGTAGCGTTTCTTATTATTAGTCTTTCTTTTTTCTGTCGGATTCAATAAAATTGATATTTTATATCTGTGCCATTTTGAAGAACTATATGGAATAACAGCAGTGCTCCGTACAAGCTATAGATGCATATTCTTTTTCTCCTTCTGTTCGTCCACTAGGATAAAGTACGAAAAGAGAAAGTGGAAAGAAAAACATGTATTCCGAACGAAAAAAAAGAGAGAGCAATAAAAGGCGTTAATTCTCACATAAAACCAGTTTTTCCTCTATTTCTCGAAAACTAGACTTTGCACCTAAACACAGACGCCGGATTCGAAATCTACGTAAGAAACTGAATCAGAATACATATACCGGTTTCTTCCAAACCGGACGCAAGTATAATAGACTCGATAATGCTTAGTATAATAACAAATCAATAAATCTGTGATGAGTATATTTCCTTACTGTACTTTTCTACGGAAAAGAGGTTCGTACTAATATCCAAAGCCCGGTTTCGATTTTCCAATTTCCTGGTGTTGTTGATTCAATGTTCCGGCATCCCTCGCCGGATCAAACGCCGAGTATTTTCCAAATCCGGCCATATGTGAAGCTGTGCAATGGGAACATTTATGCTTGCTTTATCCTGAAAGCAATTTGTTTTCGTTTATAGTTACGAAACTTGTTTGTGTGTCAATGTTTGAAGAAAATAGCTGTAGAAGATATAGGTGTATATTCTCTTCCTCATTCTCTCCATTCATCACGAAAATGGTGAAACGAATAGAAAGGAAGAGAAAGAGAGAGAAAAGGAGAAGGAGAAAAATACCTAATTTCAACGTACGTTTACGTCCTCCTGGCATTTAATTCCTTTTCTATAGTTCTATAGTCGAATAGTTCAACACCCGTCTGTACTTACGCATGCACTAATATCATCCTGGATATCATTGTTCCAGCAATATTGATAACCAATAAGATTGGAACCAAGTATTACTGGACTAATAATCCAGTATTTATTAGGTTGCCTTCTATCTAAGCAAATTCTGATTGGACCATTGCATACATCTCAAAAATCTGTTTAGTTAATGTTTTCAATACTGATGTTAGTCTTATGACTCAACATGATTGGTTATCAATATATTGTATTGACGCATGCCTATCCACATTTTTGAAGACTTGCCGATTGATTCAAGATCCAAAACAGCTATAAATATAAACTGTCAACTATGAATAAAAACACAATATCTGTGTCCTACAATATAACGTGTCCTACTCGAAAACAGTGAAACCAAAAAAGCCATATGTACCGGTAAAAGGAACTTTCGTCACAACGCACTTTCGTCATAGGGGAGGGTGTACTTTCGTCACATGTGACGAAAGTGCGTTTTTCAGAAAAAAGCATGATGACGTAAGTTCCCGTGAATTTCGGAGTGCTTTTTGTGGCTGTGACGAAAATTCACATTTTGATGACGAAAGTTCCGTCGAGTATGACGAAAATACCGTTGTTTTTAATGGTTCCTGCTTAACTTTCATCACACGTAAATACCGCTATAAATACAGAATAGAGTCAAGTGCTGTGATATTATTATGTGATCGGGAGCACTTCCTTAGTAAGAGCTGCATCTAGTATTTACTCCACTGCAGTACTTCCTTAACAAGTACTTACAGCGGATTATGTGCCTTTCTCATGAGATAACAAGTAAAACTAATGAAGTGCTTGCTGAGGTAGTACTTTCTGACTGAGTACTGCTTATCCTAAACTTAAAGGATTATCTCTCTTTCTTTCTGTCATGAGTAGAACCAGTGTCGTTTTTGCTGAGGGAGTATTTGCTTCTTTAAGTACTACTCACACTTTAAAACATAAAGAAACATATATAGAATCATACATACGGAATCAAGTGTTGTGATATTATTATGTGATCGGGAGCACTCCCTCAGTAAGAGCTGCAGGTAGTATATACTACACTGCAGTACTTCCTTAGCAAGTACTGACAGAGTAAATAGTGGCGTATATATACGTGAAAGAGAACGGCACTCGCTTCATAACATAAGTAATCAGAGAAAGATCACTTCTACATAAATTGTAAGTACTTAGTTAGGAAGTACTTACTTACAGTGAACAAAGATTTATTGTTCAAAACTTATCAACTTACTCTGTAACCACTTGCTAAGGAAGTACTACATTTAATGTTCTTTAAATGTGACGAAAGTTCACCACTACTGTGACGAAAATTCGCCTCATGCAACGAAAATTTTCGTGTGTGTGACGAAAATTCACACTTTGGTGACGAAAGTTCCCGAGGAGTACCGCCCCCCAAGGAACTTTCGTCATGTATGACAAAAGTGCGTTCGTCATAATGACGAAAGTGTGGTGTGACGAAAGTTCCATAATCCCTTTCATTTTGGTACCAATTACATATGATTATAAAAAGTTTTCATACACTCTTGTGTAAAACGATTGAGTTGAACATACTCAGTCGTTGGTAGATTTAATAGCGGATATTCTTCTGCTTTTATATCTATCAACAGTTAGTTGACAGCTTCACATAGTTAGAAAAAGTCGGTAAAGCTATAAATGATTCATCTGTTCCATCCGATTCTCACACTATAAAAATGAAAGTTCTAAAATCTGTTTCATTCCACCGAAGCGTCCAAGCAAGTTTGGTTAGCACTATTTAATTATCATCAGTGGCTATCGTGACTTCGATGGGAAGCGCAACTAAGGATTATTTGATTTCTGTTTGATCTTTTAATTTTTTCTGTAGAAAAGCTCATTATATAATATGTTGTATAAATTAAACCATAGAGGGTTGGCGTTAAATACATTTCAGCTATGCAGATTAGCTTTTAGAAGTTTGTTCTAGTCTAAGGTGAAGAATCGGGTCTAGTTCTTAATGAAATATTTATGGTTCTTTTGATATTTTTTTAATATAAAAATGAATTCAAAATTATTGCTGCAGTCCGAAAGGCAGCCTTTTTTGAACCGCGGTACTTGTGTCATACATGGTCACGAAAAATCATTTAGGCACCATAAAGGTTCAGCTTTCTAAGCTCTACAAAATTCCACAATTCAAATAAAACAGTAACGCTCAGTTTTATTGCATTCCAAAGCAAATTTACGTCTTGTTTGTATAAGTGATAAAAAATGTGAAGTGTCTGATTTTCGATAAGTTGCAGAGTTTTCTTTTTAGAAACATTTCTTGTTCAGATAAACTAAGTAAATATAGAAAACCATGCATCAAGAAAAGGCCGCTTTTCAGGTCGCAACAATAGCTTTAAATTGATATTTATATTATAAAAAATATTAAAAGAGCCATAAAAATTTATTTCAGTTTGGCATATCATCAAAAGCTACCATCATTCGTCATTTTAACCTAGAACAAGTTTTAATATTTATTCTACGTAGCTAAAAACAATCAAGTGTTTCAACCTGAATTTGACGCTAAAGAACAGCCATTTTTACTTGCTGCTCAAACCTCTCTGAATCCTGCGACGAACCGCTACGTTACAGCACGGAAATCTTTCATCGTTAAGAATGAAAGGATCACATTGTACTAATTGTGTGAGCGAAGGCAGTACTTTGTTCAGTTTTGATCAGGCTTTAGATACGAAATGACAAAAAATACAGGTCTTTCTCTTTCGTCTCCGAAAAGTTATTCAAAACGTGTCTTCTATCGTCTTTTTCTTTTCGTATAGACACTTCAACAACAGCAATAACACTAACTTCAACGACAACGAGTAAGATCTAGCGGCAGTACTAGGAATTGTAGGCAGAGCCCGACTGTACTCGGAAAGGAAAAAGGGTAGTGTTTATTTTTGCCAACCAAGTTAATTTCTCTCCCTACCTACGCCGCTCTTAAACTTTCGTACAGACAAGAAAGGTAAAGAAAAGAAAAAAAAATTTTTCAGGGTAGGCTGAGAAAGTGGTACCGCCACTAGTAAGATAGTCTCCTTGAAAAAAGCATGCGTTGCATCATTTTTTTGAGATACCAACTGATATCGTAAATTGCTATCAAAGAGGATGTTCAGTTGTAGTACATCGAGAGATTGCCCACAGCAAAGTAAATTCAATGCAAAGCGTTTTCGGAGTTTATCATCTAATGCGTATTATGTCGCTATATTTACACGGTTGAAATTCGAGTCTACGATGACAAGCAGTTGATATTTTTTTAACTTATTTATCATCTTGATCTTGCAAAGTAATAGAAATGTACAACGTTCTGTGTTCTGTCTGCTGATAGTCAAAAATTACTACTCCTTTCTTAATTATTACTCTTATTCAGTTGAATGAAGTTAAAACCTAACTAACTTAACTCCTTTACATCTAGTCTAGTCAATCTAAGGCTTGATTTCGTACTAGAGTATATCATCCTAAAATTACTGGTATATTGCCGAACCGAATATATTCTGTAACGTTTTGTTTGAATAAATCGAATAATTGAGAAAAGCAACTTAATATGGCTTGTTACTACATTTGTTTTTTATTTTGTAGCTTGTAATTCACTACAATGGAATACAACTGGTATAACTGTAGCTGGCGGAAATGGACAAGGTAGCAATTCAAATCAATTTAATGGTCAACGTGGGTTTGTTATTGATCAAAATAATAATTTATATGTCAGCGATTTTAACAATCATCGTGTACAGTACTGGGCATATGGGTCGACAACTGGTGTAACCGTAGCTGGTGGTCATGGCATAGGAAATGCCACGAATCAGCTAAATCATTCCTCAACCTTATCGGTTGATTCAAATGGTAATATGTTTATTGGTGATAGTTATAATTTTCGTGTACAATATTGGTCAAATGGTTCAACTAGTGGCCAATCAGTTGCCGCTAATAATGGTTATGGTGCTAATTTGAATCAGATTAAATATTCTGACGGTTTATACGTTAATTTTGCTTCATCAAATGCAATTTATACATCCGATAATGGAAACTATAGAATTATGAAATGGGCACCAAACGCAACAACAGGTAGTGTTGTATTTGGCGGTACAACGGGTACGGGTTTGAACCAGTTGTACGGTGCATCAACAATTGATTTTGATTCGTCGGGAAATTTATACATTGCTGATAGTGGAAATCATCGTATTCTTAAATATAATTTTACAGGAACATATGCAACGTTAGTGGCAGGTACATCAGGTACATCTGGTAATACGGTGACAACATTACAGGATCCAAGTGGTGTCTTTATTGATAAAAATAACGGAAATATTTATGTCAGTGATACAAGTAATCACCGTATACAGTTATTTACACAAGGTTCAACAACAGGCATGACAATTGCGGGTGGACAAGGATCAGGATCAAGTTCAATACAATTAAATTCACCATTTTTAGTTCAACTAGATCAGTATTATAATTTATATGTCTCCGATTCAGGAAATAATCGAATACAAAAATATTTAACTATATGTTAATCGCTTATTTTCGAGAAGAAACTTGACCCTTTACCGCTCCGGGACTAATGGAGTGACCATTTGTAGAAACGTACCAGAAAATAAATGAAACATTAAATTCAAAACCTTTCAAGGCGCTATTTGTAGCAAATCCCACAAGCTATGGGTAGATAAACAAAGTACTTGTTCTCATCGTTATATCTCCGAGATGTATCACATACAAAACTGATAAATTTGAGAAAAGCAAAAACATTTATATGACTTTCAAAATTTTACAAGAGGTAGGTAGGAAGGAGATCGTAAAAAATAGCATGGTCACTGGAGTATCCATTTGAGAAGTCGGAGGGAGAAATTAAAACATGTTTTTTTCAAATACATCAGAAAACATATGTTTCTTTTTGAAAAAGTAAAATTCACCGTAAATTTAACTTCTCTCTGCTTATATCATTTAAATAAGAAAAGCAGATTGCATGTTTGTGAAAATACTAGGCTGTTTACAAGCACAAAAAAGTCTTTCGAACGAATTAAAATTTCTACTTTGCTGCATAGTTGATCACAAGTAACGTTCATCGTCGATTTACTCTAGTCCCTTGACGTTGAATCACAATGTTCATCTTTTCTTCACTTAGTTTAGTTATTAGTAGATTGAGCGCAAGCAGATATCTGCAATATAGTATAGCTAGCACGATATCAGGATGAAACGAAACTATAAGTGCATCATTTATTTGAGCTCTAAATGTTTCTGCGTTACGCGAGTTTCGTGGAGAAATGCTGTTCTTTATAGTTTAGAAATATATCATGTGGATAATAAAAAAATTCGAAAGCGTTTTAGTATGATATCGTAGATGGTAGTCCAGTTCTCCATTCTTTAGAAGTTTCAAACTAGGCGGACATACTAACACGATTACGAAGCTTGATCCACTGTTTATTAACATTCGAGAGTGGACATGGATGTGAAGAACATATTCGAGAAAGCAAAGATGAAAAGATTAAAAAGAACTAAACGAGAGAAGTCAGAAGAGCCCATCGCCATTAGCATCTACGACACGTGGTTTCAATTATTTATCGAAGGGTTGCTCTGAAGGAAACATTCCCAAACATCGAAAGATGAACTCGTTCAAGTATGTAAGCGATCGCAATGGTTGGACATCATGGAGAAAACGCACTTGCCGCAAGTTAAACTTACACCAATCAATTCCATCGCATGCTACTAATATTAAATACCGTTACGCATTCAAAGACCCTCAGCGCATTCAGGATATATAGTATATCTAGGATGTTTAGCATATCTACGATATCTAGGATGTTAAGGATATCTAGGATATAGAATCCTTTCAGAAACTCAAAATAGTTTTCTTGAAAACCGGATCTCCAGGAAACCTCCAGAAAACTTTTTCTACTTTTTCTCGGTAAAATCACTTTAGGATGAAAGAAAATCGAACTGTGAGTGTAACGAGATGTTGTTCGCATCTGAAACATCTATTTTCGCTGAATTATTGCCAAAAAGCTGAAAATATGAGAGACCACGAAAAATCCTACAAGTGATCGTCAAATTTCTCAACGGTAAAGTTCACTGATCTAAATTACTTCTGTTTAATTTAGTTTTGGAAAATTAGTTTGGCAAATGTGTTTTTCGAAGTTTTCCCAAAGACTAGTTTTCTAGAAAACCGCTTTGGAAAACTTCGTGAGATTTTATCGTACATAATAACAAATTGAATACAGTGACGCCATAGACAGAAGTTAAATTGAGGTTATACACTGAAAGGTTGGAAATTATTTATGAAAAATGCTCGGCGATTTACATATGGGAATTCCGCGAGGATTTTCTAGTTGATAGAAAACCGAATTTCCAACAATCTAGAATCCTTCTTGATTTTCCAGTTTGTTAGAAAATTGCCGTTGAATTTCCATAAATAATTTTCAAGAAAGTAGAAATTTCTTTTTGATTTTCTATAAACTGGAAATTCCTTGGCGGGTCTGCACCGAGTGGCGTCGCGACCAGGTTGTATAGGGGTGCACCTCGCTCATGCTTTTGAGAAATTTCTGGTGAACGTCTCCGATTTCCGGACCTTTCTACCAAAACTTCGCGACACCACTATCTCTGTCTAAATCAAAATTCTTGCTGGGATAGACAGAATTATGATCTAAAGTAGAAACTGTCAAAGTCGATTTAAGTGTAATATGAGTGTCTTTACG